TCAAACTTCCATAAAGATGCAGATTTGTGGGAGAATCTATTATTAACGAAATGGAATTATCGAATTCTCATAGGACTTAGAATCTTGTAGAGTTACCTCTTGGCTGTAAAGCCTTGGGTAATATATCGATGGAATCGAACAAGATTTGGCATCTTTGAGAATTACCTCTTGGCAATGAAGCCATGTGTAATAAATGGATTCTTAAAAAGAAAAAACTAAAACCTAATGGTTTAGTTTATGAGTATTAGGGTTGCCTAATAGCTATGGCTTTTGGTGAAGAATAAAATTGTAGATTTCTTTGATATCTAATCACCAATATGTAGAATAGCATCCATGCGTGTTCTAATTGCTTTGCGCATCATATGGATGTTTTTTGTGAATGGTGATTTGGGTAAAGGAATCTACTTTGGACAACCTAAAAGGTTAGGTTGTTATTCTTGAACATGCTTCTGGAGTCTATGGTTAGACTTAGACAAATCATGATAGGATTTGATACAGACTCAGAAACAGTGGCATGAACAATATGGTTCTCTCTCATGGTTTTAAATGAAAGTGACTAGTGCATTAGTTACAAACTTGAGAATGACACATCGATCTTTGGTAAAAAGACTAGTGATGTCAATATTGTGAAAAACCTTATTGTTTGAGAATTTTGAAGATATGGATGAAGCAAGTGGAGATCCAAATGACTAGGACAAAGAAAGAGATTTCCTCTAGATAAGTTTAAATACAGTCACAATTTGGAAGAAATACAAGTTGTACGCCTGCATAAATGTTTGATGATGCTAGTATAAATCATTAAAGAACACCAGAGACGGTGTTAGAACTAAGAAAGTTAGAATATACTAGCATCAACAATCTGCGAGAAGCAACTGAGAAACAAAAGACCCGACATAGGGGGTACTTGGCAGGTTTACTGATTTTCCTAGTATGAAGCATTGAAATGCTATTGAAACGGGTCACGAGACACCTTAAGAGAACAATAGACCTTGATATAAGTTATCAACGGTTTTTTGTTGTTATTGTATTGGTTGGTTATAGTGATGAGAGCTAGAATACCCTATAGAGGACTCCAAGGCATCCAGTGGGCATGTTTTAAACATCGTTGGAAGAGTTGTGTCTTGAAAGTCTATGAAGTAAACGATCCTGGCTCAATCAATTAAAGAATCAGAAATGATGAAACTAGCAATGGCTAGTAAAGAGGAAAGTTGATTGATAGGGTCATTACTAGAGATTCCCTTATGGGAAAGACCGATCCCTCCGGTAGTTGATTCATTGTGATAGCACCGCATCTATTGCAAAAGAAGGGAGCCGGTTCTAGAACAAAAAGAGACGACAAATTCGTCGTAAGCACAGTATTGTAAGAGAACTCCTAACTATAGGAGCAATGAGGGTGGATCGTGTAAGATTCTAACACAATCTAGCTGATCCTTTGACGAAAGGATTACCTAGAGAGAAAAGTCCAAAATACCACGAAGGGTATGAGACTTATGCCTACCGAACCATGGATTACAAGTGATGGTAACCCAACCCGATAGACTGGAGATCCCAAGAAACGGGTTCCATGGGTAATAACAAGTCATGAGTAATATTGAGAAAAGTTCATGCATAGTGAAGCATGAATCCCAAAGCCTTCGCGATACCTTAGCTTATGCCCGATCTTATGGAATGGTTGATGCTCAAAGATAGTTTCAAAACTATTCAATTGGGGAATTGTAGGGATGAATAGCTTTGAAAAGCTATAAATGAAATTCCTAATTAATTATGCAGTATATTTCCATATACGAAAAATAAGAAGGATAATTAATAAACGGAATATTAGAAAGATAATTACAGTTAATTAATAGAATGCATTTTAATGGGAGTAATTATCCTCCTAATTAAGTGTGACTTATTCCCCACAAAAAAGGGAATATTCTAGGGATTTTTCTTCTATAAATAGAGCAATCCCCAGACCCTCTAAACAGAGAATCAGAGAGCAGAAACACGAGAGAGAGTGTATTCAAAGAGCTCCGGTTTTCGCACAAAACCGCCGCGCACCTAGACGAGCGGTTTTATCCTGTTGAGACCGGCTGATAGTCTGCCGTGCGCAACGAAAGCAATGTCGCGAACGTCTTAAAGAGCGCGACCTAGTCCGTGACTCAGCTCCAGATCGATAACCCTAATTTTTCTTGTTCGATTTGTAACATATGGTTGAGGGTATATATGTATGTCTATGAATGCAGATATTCATATAAATTATTTTGCAGGTCTAGTTGTAAGAACTGTTAGCCCATTACGCGTGTATTTCATGTCGAAATTTTATTGGTTGATTTTGGGAATTAATGTAACACCAAAGTTAAGCTCCGCTGCAATTCTATGAAAAATATGATTAGGCAATATGTACAGGGTAGGGTGTTACAAATACCCAATGAATCCGGGAGCCGATCAGGTCAGTAACATTCGGGTGAGTAACCATGAGTAACCATTCCACATCAACATGACATCGACATCCCTCTCTCTCATGGAAAACCTTTATTTTTTCCCCTTTAATCTTTAACGGACGATTTCTCTCTCGTTTTAAGTCAGAATTTAATTTTTTTCACATATTAATTATGCTCTTTAAAATGATATCCACTTTGATATATCTTTAGAACAAAAAATTTGAGATATTTTTTACGAGTCAATACCATATGGTAAGAAAACGTACCATGATGGTATGAACATACCAAAACTGTAGGAAGGTTGAATACATGATAGTAGAAGTATACTAACTGTCATTTAAGACTTTCATCATTGTTTACCACAAGTTACCACCCCCATACCAGATGGTAAAATATGGTAATTTTTGGTCCTCTATTTTTTCACCCATAAATTTGTAGATCTAATAGATCATGATGAAATCGTTCTTTCTGAGCAAATATTTTCAAAAATGACTTAAAAACGAAGAAGTTACCATATGGTATGTGGTTGGTAACAGGAGGTATGCAAAAAGGTTTCTCGAAATATATTGAAAATTGATCTCATTTTGTAGAGCACAACGAACTCGTTCCATCTGTGCAAAAAAAAAAAATATTTGAAATCCGAGTTAGAACAGAGAAGATAAGAGGTAATTAAGAAAATTAGAGAAAATAAAATGTCTTTAATTCATAATCTTTAGATCTGAATTTTCTGAACCCACTTAAATTTAAAGGTGCAGATTTAGTTACTTATAGATCGTATGTCAATAACCAATGTATCTTCAGCCAATGAATCCACCCATTGCCATCATATATGGTCTTCTAATTCTTCGCATAATTGTCGTCTTTGGCACTAGGGCTATCTATTTGGTTCGGGTTTTTTGGTTTTAACCGAAATCAGACCTTATAACGCGGATCGGGACAGGATAGCAAACAATCAAATCCAATTTTCGGGCCTAGATTTGAGGTAAAAAACTGTTTGAGACCGGACCGAAAACCGGATAAGAGAGCCCAACACTCAAAATTTAACATTCTTATCCGTTCAGGCCTTAGGCCACTCAAATCCCCCCTCAGGACACTCAAATCCCCACAAGCTCAATCTAAAATCAAGACCGAATTGGGACCGAATCGGTTCAAAACCGGTTCTGATCAAAATCGGACCGGATCAAGACCGGACTGTATCCAATTCAATTTTGTCCTTATATTCTCGCAAAATACCAGACCGAGACCGGATCAATTCGGGCTAATTTAACCGGATCAAACCATATAACCACCCCTATCTGGCACTACTGATCTCCAACTTTTTTTTTTCTTTTCCTTCTCCATTACTGCCACTGCCGGCCTCGTCATATAATGCATTATGCATGCAGTTGCCACTGTTTCCCCAAAACGAAACATACTTTCTTCTTGGGCGATATTTCCATTTTGGCATGTACACACATGCTATAATTAAGCCTTTGTAAAATGATGCAGACAGCAATATGAGATACCGTTATATAGAAGACTGTTTTCGCAACCCGAATAAAATGTCGACTGATCAGTTGGAACTTGGAACTTGGAAGTCACTTTTAGAACCTTACCAAAGGGAATCTTTTACCATTAACTAGTCAAGAATGTGACAGTATCGAATGAATCTTTGTGTATGATTCCAATTTTTTGTATCGTCTTCTCTTTGGCTGAATTGTCATCTTTGAATTATTCATCTTCATATTTTTTTTACTATTCACAAATCATAGTTATAAAATGGAAGCGGCACAAACAAAGATATATAAAAAAATAGTGGGATGTCGAGATACAATCTAGATCACTACTCCCTTAGTTATAGCAAAGCTAAGTCTTTTTTTTTTTTCATATATTTAGTTTTTTTTCTTCCTTTTACCGTGATGCATTAATATTTTCAATACATCGAGAAAATGATTATCTACATTAATTTTACTCTTAAGACTCATACGAAAAACACTAAACTAGATTAGTATATCCTTCTTAAACAGAAAGTTAACGTACATATTTATAGTAGAACCTAAAAAACCTAATCCTTCACCAATTTTACAAGAACTCAACAACTTAATCCTAAAAAACTACCTTAAATAACACTTGAATAATTAATATGATTCTTAAACAATAACTAAAACCAACTCAAATCGTACAACTAAGAATAATTAACAATGATTTCCCTCTAAACCCTCGTATTCACTCTGCCACCGGCCACCGCCGGCCCTCTATATTCAATGAAAGTACTCACAGTTTCCCCAAAAGAAAACATACTTCTATGCTTTCTGCTTTATGTAATCTAGGTATACTTTCATTTCCTTAACGACGATGCATTAGATTCCTAGCTGGGCTTTTTGTCTTACCCGATTCTTGGCCTGCCCTGACCAATGGAATCTTTCTTATGGTCCATTGGCTAGCTAGCCCCTTTCAGTCAAGAGGAAACATACGAGTTCCAAAACCCATTAATGTTATGGCGATCTCAAGTTATATATAGCTGCTACGAAGGGCATCTTCCTTGAATCATACTAGCTACTCCCAAAAGTGATCACTAAAAAAAGTTTTAGCTAAACCATGGCAGCAATCCTCTACCTTCTCCTAACCCTCCCTCTCCTCCTACTATTCCTTCTCCAAAAACACAAGAAGAGTTCAACCAATGCTTCTCTCCCACCAGGTCCTCCAGGGCTTCCCTTGGTAGGGAACTTGTTCCAGCTCGACCCTTCAGCTCCTCATCGTTACCTATGGAAACTCTCTCAAACCTATGGACCCGTGATGTCCCTAAGGCTAGGCCGTGCCCAGGTCGTCGTCGTTTCGACCGCGAAAATGGCCGAGGAAGTCATGAAAACTCAGGATCTTACCTTCTGTACCAGGCCCGTGGCAACGAGTACAACAAGACTGTCCTACAACAACGTGGACTTGGCGTTTGCGCCCTACGATGCTTACTGGAGGGAGATGAGGAAGATATGTGTGGTTCATCTGTTCAACTCCAACAGGGCTCAGAGCTTCGGTCCCATCAGGGAGTACGAGGTTTCCAAAATGATTGAGAAGGTCTCCGGATCTTCATTAGAAGCAAAGCCCGTCAATTTGTCTGAAGCCATGATGTCTCTAACGAGTACAATTATTTGTCGGGTGGCTTTTGGCAAGAGGTACGAGGAGGAAGGGGTCGAGAGAAGCAGATTCCAGTCGTTGCTCAACGAAACCCAAGCCATGTTTACGAGTTTTTGTTTCTCTGATCTTTTCCCAGTTTTGGGCTTCATCGATAGGCTCAACGGTTTGGCTAGTCGCCTGGACAAGAATTTCAAGGAGTGTGATGCTTTCTACCAAGAGATCATCGATGAACATCTTGACCCAGATAGGGCAAAGCCGGAGCAAGAAGACATTTTGGATATTCTGCTTCAGCTTTGGAAGGACCGATCCTTCAAAGTCCAGCTCACGTTCGACAACATCAAAGCACTTCTCATGGTAATTGGTCAACGTTTCGATTTCATAAAAACTACTCTTTTCTATTTATATTTTAAAAAAATGTAAAAGTAATTGTGTTAGAAAGGTAAAAATAACTCTTCATGTCATTTCAAAAACTATTAGGCTTATGTATCTTCATTCAGTTATTATTTAAAATTATATAAGATTACTATTAATTATTATATTATTTCTAGTTGGAATAGGATTAGTAGTCATTATATTAGTATTGACTTAATGATTCTTGTAAGGAAAGAAAACAAATTCTTGTAGGAAAAAATAAGAAGAGAGGCTTAAGTTTAGGATGAGAAAATTGGAACCCAATTTATTTTTGTTGCTTTGTTATTTAATTAGTAATTTCATAGTAATTTGGGGTAGTGTTTGCTATTAACGAGATCTTCCTCTATCCGTGAGCGTCCAACGATGTATCCAAAATCTAAAGATCAAAGATTCAGTCTCGTAACAAAGTATATTTCATCTTCATATCCATATTATATTTTGCTTGTAGAACATATTTATCGGCGGAACAGACACAGGCGCCGCTACTGTGGTTTGGGCCATGACATACTTAATGAAGTATCCCATAGCCATGAGGAAAGTTCAGGAAGAACTTAGGCAGAAAGTTAAGGACAAAGGATTCGTGAAAGAAGAAGACATTCAACAACTACCTTACTTTAAAGCTGTGATTAAAGAGGCAATGAGATTGCAACCTGCAGTCCCATTGTTGGTTCCTAGGGAGTCAATTCAGAAATGCAGCTTAGGTGGATACGAAATACCAGCAAAGACTATAATCCATGTGAACGCATGGGCCATTGCAAGGGATCCTGAATCATGGGGAGAAAATCCAGATGAGTTCAAACCAGAAAGATTCGTGGGAAAGTCTATTGATATGAAAGGCTCAAACTTTGAGCTAATACCATTCGGCGCAGGAAGAAGGATATGTCCTGGAATTCACATTGGGCTTGCAACTGTGGAGATTGCTCTGGCTAATTTGCTCTATGCTTTTGACTGGGAGATGCCGGCTGGAATGAAGAGTGAAGATCTGGACATGGATGTGCTACCGGGACTTACAATGCACAAGAAAAATGCTTTGTGCCTAATTGCTATAAACCGTGTGTAAAAGAGCGGCTAGACCATCTTGCGTATTGAAATGTATTTTCAAAGAAATGTATTGGGAGACTAGAGAAAATATGGGGTACTTGCTTCGAATCAAATGTGTTTCACTTCTCAAACATTACTTTTAGGTCTATAAACAATATTGGTACATTCTTAAAGACTTTCCCATGAAAACTCAAGAGGCGGATTTGGAGCTATGAGTTTTGACTTGTGAGGTCTAAATATACATAACCCTATGCTATGGAAGTGTACACAATTTATCAAGTACTGCGATCATATCAATAAAGGCTCCAAACTAAATTAAGGGTCGTTTGGAAGTTGCGATTATTTTATTGAGATTGTCATTATGTATATATTGTTTACAATGCATCGTTTTTTTTGTTTTTTTAGCAGAAACAATACATGGATTGTTTCTGTGATGTGACAGAAACTATCACTCATTTTGAGTGATTGTTATATCTCAACTTTTAGTTGTGATTGTTGAGATAGTTGAGTTGAGATTGTTTTGTCTAAGCTTTTAGCTGCTGCCTGCTGCGATATGCACAATCACACATACCAAATGTTGTATTCTAAAATGCATCAAACTCGACAATACACGTATAATATTATACATGCATTCTCAACAATACATCTATTTAACAATCGCAACTTCCAAACGACCCCTAACTGTGTATGAAGTCTCTACAAAGGCGATGTGGTGGAACATCTTGGTAGAATGAAATGCTAAAACAAAAATCGTTATGTAAGCTACTCAAAAGCACAGGTAAGATACAAAATCGTCAATTATGCTATTCGTTGGAGGTACAATGTAAGGCACTTTCGATAGGATTCAAGTGCAAGCTCTCAGTTGTCTCCTACTTGGAAACTCTTGTTAGTTATGGTGTCCAAAAATCAAGTAATAGCAAGTGAATTCTGGGCGCCAATTATTTGTGTAAAGTTGGTGAGTCGGAGGTTTACACGAGTGATCTAGGGAATCGATGGTTCTTCAATGAGGGAGGAGTATATTGATCAAAAGGGAGTGTCGCATCAAAGATTAATTTTAACTTTTCACCCGTTTCAAAGAAAGTTTTATAATTGATCCCAAATAAGCTTATTTATTTATTTATAAAAATGTCGTAAATGTATACGGCACAGAGTTGAAAATTGGTGCACAGCATACGTACGTGCATGTCATCAAAGTTGGTTCATACCAATATATATGCCAATCCACATCTCTTCTCTAGTATTTACTAACAACACCTGGCATCAGACAGGAAGCAAGCATCCAGCTATGGACACTTCATCCCTGAACAGAACATGATTTCTGTTTTTCAAGTTTTAATTTCTTTCTTTTCTCGAATAGAGTTAGGTATCACCGATTTCTTTTTATTGGGAAAAAATAGATATATGTTTAATAAGTGATTTTTTTTGGAAGAAGACAAAAATGAGACGGGATATTTAATAGGGGTGTTCAAATGGTTACCGTGGTAATAACCAAATCAATTAAGAATAAATTTCATTAAACATGAAATAAAATGTCTTAACCAAACCGTCCAAATTAACCAAACCAAAGTTTAATTGGTTTGGTTAATCGGATAAACCAAATAACATAACATAACATAACATGAAAACAAATATCATGTTAATGAATAAAACATAACCATATGTTATTATTATCATAAACTATCATTATATATAAGCAATAATAATATGACTAATCATCCATGATTATCATCATCATTCGAGTTAATACATCATTCATGATCTCTACACCTAATATAGTTAGCATACAACAAACCCTTAACATAATTATTAAATACATACCAATACACTCATGAGGAAGTTAACGCTCTCCTATAAAACACTTAAACTGTACATAGTTTGAGGTGGCTGTCATGGTATTGTACGTAATCCTAAAGTCTAGTAGCTACCCAAAATGTTTTGGTTTAGTAAATATGCAGACCCATTTAATTTTTTACCCATAATACTTTGGTTTGTTGTGCACATGGAAATAAAATAGGTAATCACGAAAGTTTGGTTTGGTTGGTTGCATGAAAGTATAAATAATTTTGTTTATTAGGTGTATCATTAATTGGTTAATTGGTTCCATTGGTTAGTAGTTTTGAAACCAAACCAAACCACCTAAACTAAATTATTTAACCAAATCAAACCAATTATCCAAATTAACCAAACCAAATTAACTAAATACTACTGGTTAATATGATTACCACGGTAACCAATCCGTTTCAACACCTTGCATAAGACAAGACGAAAGAAAGGCACATAAAATATATGCCCTCCGACTCCGAGCCATGGCAATGCTAACTAATAGTTTACTGATTAACACTATCAAACAAAGTATAGTGGGAACTGGGAAGATTGGAATATTTAGTAGCTAGCTAAGCTGTCCAGCATTTTCTTATTAATTATGGTTATGGTAGTTTTCTAATCACAATTATATGACCTCAGTCCTCCAGTGCATATGCAATTCAAAAGTACCCAAATAATTAAGCATAAACAAGGATTTGAAAATTACAATTTCAACCCTTTTCTTCCTTATTTATGCCACAATTGGTCATTGAGATTACTAAATTGTGTCATGTTTAGTCACTAGAAAAATTTAATATCAATTTTGGTCACTTAAATTATTGAAACACATCACATTTAGTCACTCTCCCATTAGTTTCCGTCCAATTCCATTAATGGAGTTGGACGGAAACTAACAAGAGAGTGATTTAGTCACTCTCCCGTTAGCCTCCGTCCAACTCCGGTCACTCGAATTACTGAAATATGTTACATATGGTCACTCGAATTTCCGAAACACATCACATTTAGTCACTCTCCCATTAGTTTCCGTCCAATTCCATTAATGGAGTTGGACGGAAACTAACAGGAGAGTGACTAAATGTGGCATGTTTCGGAAATTCGAGTGACCATATGTAACATATTTCAGTAATTCGAGTGACCGGAGTTGGACGGAGGCTAACGGGAGAGTGACTAAATGTGACATGTTTCAGTATTTCGAGTGACCAAAATTGATATTAAATTTTTTTAATAACTAAACATGACACAATATAGTAATCTCAGTGACCAAATGTGACATTTATCCCATTTCTTCCTTACACGAGATTCACCTGATTATCTATTTACTCTTTTCTTTTCAAAATCGAAATAGTCTACTATTTGGTTCACTGTATAATGACTCTATTAGCTAGTACTTTCCACGCACGTGACAGCGGATCATTTGCGATCACGTCGTTGTACTAGGTATATTAGAATAATAATAAATAGTGAAACAAATAGTAGAATATGTCAATTTTAATGGCTTTTACTTAGAAGGTGGCATAATCTCTCTGTAGCTTGAAAGTGATTAAAAGCATTACAAGAAAACTACACTCGTTCGGCCAAATGAATTAACTTTTTCATAAAAAAAATTAATTAATTGACTATATATAAGATCATAATAAAAAATTATATATAACAACATACATTTAGCAATTAGATCGCTTACACTATGTTTGGCAAAATAGGGGGTGCAAATTCGAGTGGTGGAAGTTGAGGTATAAAGTGAACGGGAGTGCAAATGGGAGGAGAGTGCAAGTAGAGTGGTAAATTGTTGTTTGGAATGGAAAAATAACAGGTGCAAATAGGTTGAAAAGTAAATAAGTGATATTATTATAAAATTAATCTATTAAAATTTTACAATATTATCACAAAATATTCATACATAAATAAATATTAAATTATAAAATAAAAATTTATATAATAAAAATTTATTAAATAGGAATGCTCAAATAGTAATTATCTTTAAAATTAAAAAATAATATTATTAGGCCCATAAAAATCATCATAGGTCGAACAATCTCGAGGATAATAAGTAGACTCGAACTCTAATTCGTGGCCAAGGCATAAACTAGCTCATATCTCCCACACAACCATTGATTTTTCAACATTGTGGTATCAAATCGAGTTTAACTTTAAATCGTATATTGTCAAACTTAGTCACACGTTCGAATCTGTAAGTTTTAACTATTAACCAGGCAAATCGAGTCAACAAATTGAGCCGATTTGACAAAAATTGTCTAAACTCAATGACGAAATTCGAAATAAACCCAAAATTAAATAATAGTAATAATTATTATTGTAATGGTTATTCTTACTATCATAATATATTAATCATAAAAAATATTATTATTATATAATTACATGATATTTCTTAGTCACAAAATAATTATAGAAAATAATAATACACAAAAAATGATAAATAAATCATAATTATATCTAATACCCCTTCTCCCTCTCTTTATCTCTCCATTTTCACTCCAAATTGAGGAGTTGATGAAAATAGTGAACTTACTCCCAATCGCACCCCCTCACCACTATTTATATTTATCCAAATGATGCATTTATCCTAAATTTGCACCCCTCCCATTTACTTTTCATCCCAAACATAGTGTATGGTATAGTTAATAAGTAGGCCAAATGCCAATCGTTACCATACAAATATAAAAGAAAAAATTTCACTTTTAAGAATTCCAAAGGTTGCAAATCACAACAGTAGGAGGAACCTGGTCAATAGTATAAAGATCAATGGGATAATTGTGGAAGGAAAAAAGCCATTGAAGAAGGCTTTTGTTGAGCACTTTGTCAATGCTTACAAAGAAACACGACCCAACCGTCTTTTCCCGGTCAGCAGTGAACGCTTGATTTTCACTTATGTGGAAAAGGCTTGTTTGAAGAGACCTTTCTCTGATTCCGAGATTTGGAAGGCTGTGAAGCATTATAAAGCCGACAAAGCTCCGGGTCCCGATGGTTTCTCCATGGCTTTCTACAAAAAGTGTTGGAATGTGATTAAAGAGGACTTGTTCAAGGCTTTTGAAGACTTCTATGAGAATGGGAAGTTACCAAAATGTATTGTACACTCAATTATTTGCCTCATTCAAAAGAGGGAAGCAATTGAGGAAATCCGTGACTTCCGGCCGATCAGTCTTCTAGGAAGCTTTAACAAATTGATCTCCAAGGTGATTATGGATAGAATCATACCATTTGTGAGCGGAATTGTGTCTGGAAATCAGTTTGATGGGGTTCAAATCCATCAGATTCATAAAGCTACGCTAATTGCAAATTAATTAGTCGATAGCAGGCGAAAAAGTGGGAAACCAAGTTTGGTTTTTAAACTTGATATTGAGAAGGCCTTTGATAACATTAATTGGAACTGTCTTTTCAATATCTTACAGAACTATGGTTTTCCTTTGAAGATGCAAAAGTGGATCAAAAGTTTGATTACCTCTCCTAGCATGTCTGTGTTGGTCAATGGGGAATCTGCAGGGTTCTTCAGCATTGGGAAAGGGCTATGGCAAGGTGATCCGACATCCCCATTCTTATTTACTCTTGTGATGGATATTCTGTCTACTATGTTGGATATCTTGAAAGATACAGGACTCTTATTGAGATTTAAGATGGATGAAGTAGGGTTGAGAGGTGAGGTGACACAGCTTCGTTATGCCGATGATACCATCATTTTCTGCGAAGCCAGTGAAGAACAAGTCCTTAGTTTGTTGGGAACACTTGTGTGCTTTCAGTATGTTACGGGGCTGAAAATAAATGTCAGATGTTTCCGAGTGGAAACTGTAACACCTTAGGCGAATCCCACATCGACAAAGCATGGGAGAGATCCATGGTTCATAAGAAGGAAACAGACCTTAACTGACAAGACGCGTTTTGGGGTGTAATGGAGGATTTCTTGTGAGAACTCTGAAGTTAAACGTGCTCATTGTGGAGTACAACAAGGATTAGTGACCTTATTGGAAGTCACCTTGAATTGCACCCCAAGTCAAAATCTGTGAGGGTCGAGGCCCAAAGCGGATAGTATCTTCGCCGGGTAAAGGTTCGGGATGTTACAAGTGATATCAGAGTCTCTCCGCGTCCCTCTTGAACGATGGTGGGGCAAACCTCAACAAGGGCGTTGAGTCCCAAGGTTTTGTTTGCTGCCCTTTCTTCCATTTCTGGATCATGCCTTGCGATCCTGGGTTGTGGTTGTGATTCTGTGTACTTTGTTTTCCCCCTTTTTTTAGTTAATTAATCTTCACCCTTATAAAAAAAGTTATTATCACATAATGGGAAATATTATTTTTCCCCCTTTTTTATATGAGAAGTCAATCATATTAAAAGTTAGGGCTATAAAAAAGGAACCAACAAAAACCAAACTCATATCATACTTATCTTAAAAAAAGACCAACAATTTCTAACTAAAATTTGAGATTTAATAATTATTTAAAGTGAATAATTCTTTCTTTATGTCATATCAAAGCAAATCGTATGTAAAAATTGCATAAAAATAAGAATTTGATGGATTATGAACAATACAAGCACAATAACAATCCACTCAAACAGTAACAGAAACCAATAAACTTAGGGGAAAGAAAATTTATTCCATATTTTGTTTCACCAAAACTTACATCTATATATGTCCTAACATGCAAAATAACAAAATAGTACTTAAAATAAGATGTGGAAAGAAAATAGTACTTAAATAGTATCGTAAAGATGGTCGGACCAATTTTTTTTTATATTGGAGTTTAAATTTATAAGCGATTTTTAATGGTATAAAACAATTGAATTATAATTAAACCATAATTTGAATAAAAAATATCTTATCCTAATTGTTCCAATACAATATCCAGACATTTTTTTCACTGTTAATTCGAAATCAAGCAATATTTTTGGTACTGACATTACAATGGCTGATCGTACCATTGATTCCTGGCATATAAAAATCGAACCATTAAGATGTGGGATGATTTTAGTTGTTGCTTGTTGGGAAGATACTAATTAAACCAGCAAAATAACTGAAAATAAGCGGTACAGACACGTTATAGACGCGCATAATTTATTTTTATATAATATACGCCATATGTGCAGTGTGCTCCAGGTCGGCCGGCTGGTCAATGGTTATCAACAACTACGTTGGTGTAGGGGCACAAATTCCTTGACCCAATCAACAGTGAGCACGTGCCTACAAACGACGTATAAGCTTACTTATACATAGTAGCTAGGTAATCCACGTCGCTTCTTTAGAAATTATTGTTAATTGTTAATATTGATGGAACCTCCACGTTTTTTAGTACGACTCGAGGGGTATACTATATACTCAGTAAAATATATTTATTTAGATTACGAATTAATCGAGTTTGGAGTACGATATATAGTACATAGTATAAAGTATACACTTAATTTCTAATCAATAAAAAATAATTTTTGATTCTCAAAAATCCCAAATTCAGAAATAAATTTGATAAAAAATAATAATTGACGATTCTAATTTGTCAAAATACAATGAAATACATGCGACAATCAAATCACTTGTAATAATATGCTATACATACAAGTTTGTTGGTCGTTACCAAAACTCTACAAGATCACTTAGAAGTGAAAAGATGATAAAAGCAAACTGATTGGGCAAATTGGCAATGTGATATGTACAGCTAAAAACTAGGGATGACAATTTTGACCTTACCCGTAGGCAGGGCAGGCATGGATACCTCTCATCGACCCGGACTGTCCTGACCCGTCCCATTTTCGACTCGTTCTTGTCTAAATCACATGTAATCTTAGTCAAATTACTTAGAATTTTCCTTTTATTACCTCATTATTTAACTACATTTTATCATATTATGGTTTGTTTCTTGATATTTTAATGAAAATAATGAATATTATTAATGTTTTTTATATAAATTACATACCCATTGGGTCGAGATACTCACTCCGGATCTGCCGATTGCCATTCCTACTAAAAACCCATCAAGATTCAAGCATTTGCACTTCGTACTAGATGAAACACAATACAAGTTTGCTTCTTCAAATTAAAGTCGCCGAGTTATACCCACAAAACTCCATCTTATGTCCATATCATGGAAGAATAATTATAAATGATAAAATCATGATCGATGGTTACAATAAAATATCCCCCGCGCGCCCACGTCCAAATGGAAGATTTAATATATTATTATCTCGACGTCTCCCCATTAATAGTTCCTCATCTCTCTCAACCTTCACTCACCACTTACCCAACAACCATGGCTTTCCTCTTCTTCCTCCTTGCTCTCCCCGTCATCCTCTTCATCCTCCTCCAAACCAACCGACCCAAAAAACCATCCAACCTTCCACCCGGTCCGCCCGGTCTACCCATCATCGGCAACTTGCTCCAAATCGACAACTCCTCCGTACACCGCTCCCTCGCCCAACTCTCCCAAAACCACGGCCCTCTCATGTTCTTGCAATTGGGTTTCGTCCCAAGCATAGTAATCTCCTCGTCCAAGCTAGCCAAAGAGGTCATGAAAACGCAGGACCTCGCTTTCTGCAGCCGGCCAACTCTAACCGGTCAGCAGAGGCTATCCTACAACGGGTTGGACCTAGTCTTCTCCCCCTACGACTCTTACTACACCGAGATGAGGAAAATATGCATGGTCCACCTCTTCCACCCGACCCGGGTCCAAACCTTCCGACCCATCAGAGAGTACGAGGTCTCGCAGATGATCCACAAGATAACCTCCAAGATCGGTTCAACCCCCGACAAACCGGTCAATTTGAGCGAGGCCATGATGTACTTGACCAGCACTATAATTTCGAGGGTCGGGTTCGGGAAGAGATACGAGGAAGAAGGGATCGAAAGGAGTAGGTTTCAATCGTTGCTGAATGAGAGTCAGGCTATGTTCACGAACTTCTTTATTGGTGATTATTTCCCTTATATGGGTTTTGTGGACAAGCTCAATGGTTCGACCGCTCGGCTTGAGAAAAATTTTAGAGAGTTTGATGACTTTTACCAGGAGGTCATAGACGAACGCCTGGATCCAAAGAGAGGGAAAACTCCAGAGCAGGAAGAGGACATACTCGATGTGTTGTTGCAAGTCATGAATGCTCCTTCCTCCAAAGTCCAACTAACTTTCAACCACGTCAAATCACTCCTCATGGTTAGTTTACCAATCTAGCAATTTTACATATTTTTTTGATTTTACTATGAGAGATCATTGTGTATAAATTCAATGTTAATATATTTGTATGGCCTGAACTTTGACCAAAATAAGCATCCTGGCCAATCTTTTCGATCTATAACATCCTGGCCCAAACTATACATCAAAATAACTAGATTGGCCAAACCCGACGTTTGACCGTTAACCTGGGCGGTCAAACATGTTGACTAACGGTCAACGCACCACATCACCGCCCAGTCAGCATAAAAAATGTTGAAAAATTCAAAAAAGACACATAATCTCATTATTTTAATTAAGTTAAAAATAAATATAAAAAGAAAAGAAAATACAGTAAAAGATATAAATGGTAATAGGTAGAAAAAATCAATTTTTTAAGTGTTGTGTTGACTGGGCGATGATGTGGCGCGTTGATCGTTAGTCAACACATTTGACCGTTCAAGTTAACGGTCAAACGTTGGGTTTGGCCAATTTAGTTATTTTGATGTATAGTTTGGGCCAGGATGTTACAGATCGAAAAGATTGGACATAATATTTATTTTGGTCAAAGTTCAGTCCATACAAATATATTAACCCTAAATTCAACGTTGTTATTTGGGAATTTATAAATAACCAACAAATTCATGCAAGTGGATGATGCGGACTTATAGCCGTGTTGGTGACTATCTAGTAATAGTCTCCTTTTTCATTTAAATAAGCCGTGTGTCGGATCTTTCCCGCAACTTAATCTGTGAAAATTATAATTTTATACGAAACAGTTAAACCCTAATCGATCACTCATATATAGCTTTTTCGTCTTGTCTTTTTTTGTAGAATGTATTTCTTGCAGGGACAGACACGGGCGCTGCCACAGTGGTATGGGCTATGAGCTTCCTAATGAAGAACCCAGAGACAATGAAGAAGATACAACAAGAAGTCAGGAGCTCGATTGAAGCCACCAAGGGCTTCGTGAACGAAGACGATCTTCACCAACTATCATTTCTGAAAGCTGTGGTTAAGGAGACGTTCAGATTGCAACCCACAGTTCCGCTCTTGGTCCCTCGACAAACCACTGAGAAGACTCGATTGGACGGCTATGATATCCCAGCCAAGACCCTCGTCCAAATCAACACATGGGCCATTGGGAGGGACCCTGAAGTATGGGAGAGCCCAGAGGAGTTCAAGCCCGACAGATTTTTGGACAACTCTTCGAGTACTAGTACTGTTGATATTTTTGGGCAAAGCTTCGAGCTTACCCCGTTTGGAGCTGGGAGGAGGATATGCCCTGGCCTTCACATGGGCCTTGTCACGGTGGAGCTCGCGCTGGCGAATTTGGTGTACAAATTCGACTGGGAAATGCCGGTTGGGATGAAGAAAGAAGACGTGGATATGGAGGTGATTCCGGGTATTACCATGCACAAGAGGAATCATCTCTGCCTTGTAGCTAAAAGGCCTATAATATGAAAAATATTATGTAACGATAGCTCTCAGTTTGTAATGTTGGGGATGAATAATATATAACCAATGGATGTGAGTATGTAATGTAATCCTACATTAATATTACCTTCTGATGATCATTTACACCTATAGTCTATAGAGTTCTGCTAGTGTCTAATAAATTATTATATTATTAATAAGTGAATTTCAGTAATGTGCCTCAGTTGTACCGGAGAAGGGGGAAAATGGTCATGGGCCGCAACCCGTAGGGATGTATTGTCTGTGGGCTTCACTATTGGGCCTCAGTTGTAGAGGCGGCGCAATACTGTTGGTGTATGAGGAAACTATGGATTTGGGGTCCTCTTCCTCAAAAGCCAGACCAGCACTTCATATGGTTCTTACGAATACGGATGGACAATGCGTGGGTAGGGTCGATTTTTGGGCAAAATTCATTCACCCATAGTTATGGTGGCGGTGGTTATGAAAAAATGACCCACATCCACAAATTTGTATCGTTGTGGATGGGTTGGGTGGGTGACGGCAAATGGTGGGTGGGTTTGACGGTAAGGTGGGTCAAATTATTTTTACATAATTAGACAATTATGAGATATAAAGGTTTGTATTAAACTAATTGAGTATCAATACTACAAATCAAGAAAATTGAAAACTATTAAAAACATAGTTAACTAGATAATCTAACACCAATTATCTCATATGCGAACACAACATATTTAGTTGATAGTTATCATATTTTAAAATGATCAATTTTATGTTGTAAATCAAGTAAAATTTATAAAAGATACTTGTAATTTAATTCAATCAATCACAATTGAAGTTTTGGTATAAGAAAGTAGGGATGGGCAATGGGTGGGTTGGGTCGGTTTTTGGGCAAAATCCATCCACCCATTGTTATGGTGGGTGATGAAAAAATGACTCACACCCACCCATTTGTATCGTTGTGGGTGGGTTGGGTGGGTGACGTCAAATGGTGGGTGGGTTTGGCAGTTTTGGTGAGTCAAATTATTTTTACATAATTAGACAATTATGAGCCATAAAGGTTTGTATTAAAATAATTGAATATCAATACTACAAATCAAGAAAATTGAAAGCTATTAAATATAGTTTACTGAATAATCTAACACCAATTATCTCATATGCGAACACCACATATTTTGTTGATAGTTATCATATTTTAAATGATCAATTTTATGTTGTAAATAAAGTAAATTTAGGCCAAATACACTTGTGTAGCCAAAACTTTGACGGTTTTGCCAAATATAGCCACGTTTGGCGAAATACCAAAAATAGCCACTTCCGTCCAATCTTTGACGGTGTTAGTTAACGTGCTGACTGGACTAACAAATTGTTCGATATGGCAACTTTTGTCCTGTATGTATTTCCCACGTGGATTTAATCAATAAAAATTAAATAAAAACAATAATTAAAATTTGAAATTTTCAAATGGGTGGGATTTCTGATATATAAAAAATAAATACAAATAAATAAATAAATAAAACTAAAAGACTTCTCTCCTCCCAACCAACTACCCTCTGTTCTGATCGACAGCGAACAGAAAACAATGAGGAAGAAGGCACCGGTGGAGGAAGGGGAAGAAGAAGAAGAAATGGCGCATTCCCTCTTAGATCTCTACAGAAGCCCAAGCATTGAAATCCCAATTCCTCACATGCCCCTCCTACTTCTTCTCGTGTTCACCACTCTGCCCTCCTCCGCCGATGAGCCCGTCACTCCAATACGGCGACCAACGCTCAAGCAGACAACGATGGCAACGACCAATTGGGTCCAGCAAAGAAGCCCAAGCTACCCGATTCCAATTTCTTGGATTTTGGCCCATCCGACTCTGATGACGATTCCTCCTCAGCCGCTAATCACAAGAAGAGGAAATTAATTCCATACCTTCCAGATCTGGAATCCGGTCACCCAAAAGGTCTGCTACTCTCCTTGCCCAATCTGCCTTTTCCCCCAACTCATTCGGTCTTTTTAGAATTCCTTAGTTCGACTCTCCCTCATTGTCATGCCCGACGGTGCCGCATCCTTCATGCCTGACGGTCAGAGGCTATGGAGATGAGCGGTGGGGATTCTCTTGGATGATTGAGCTTACGTTTCGGCTGCTGGATTGACGGATCTCTGAGGCGGTTCCGGGGAAACTTTGATTGCTAGAGATTCCTCGTCGTTGAAGCTGCTAGTTATGGTTTGAGTGGAGAAGGAGAAAGAGAAGCGGCGGTTGGGTAGAGGGAGAAGGAGAAGCTCAAAGAATTGAGAAGAAAGGGGTGATCTGCAGGGGAAGAGAGAAAAAAGAGGGAAGTGAGATAAAAAAAAATATTTATTTATTATTTAATTTATTTATTTTGTTTTTAGTTTTCACAAATAAAAAAATTGTAGCTCAGATAATAAAAAAAGACTATTTGAATTTTTTTTCATTTATCCACGCGAAATTGTTAAAAGATAAATCAAAATGACGTGGCAATGATATTGATGACTTGTCGGTGACGTGTGTGATGATTTGGCATCCTAGTAAGTCTAACGTTAACTTAACTGACGGAGTTTCTAACACCGTTAAAGTTTGTAACGGAAATGGCTTATTGTCATCAAACTTTCAAAATTCTGGCTATTATTGGTATATCCCAAAAATTGCTATTGTTGTCACAAACGTCAAAGTTTTGGCTACACAAGTGTATTTGGCCTAAAATTTATACACGATAATTGTAATTTAATTGAATCAATCACAATTGATGTTTTGGTATAAGAAAGAATAGTGTTTTACTATAGAATATGCATTAATGACTTAATATATCATGTGATTTTGCAGGAATGACCCACCCGCCACCCACCCAAGTTTAGTGGGTGACAAAAACGATGATCCACACTGTAACACCCTACCCTATACCTTTTGCCTAATCATATTGTTCATACAATTGCAGCGGAATTAATCTCGGGTGTTACATTAATTATCAAAATTTATCTAAATAAAATTTCGACATGAATTACTCGCGTAATGGGCTAACAGTTCTTGCAACTTAACCTGCAAAATAATTCATCACAAACATATATACTCACAACCATAGGCATTGGCTTTTCTTAGCCATAGTCACACTTTTCATACTTCCTAACTGCATACCATACTTATACATACTATAATCGTCACAACTTACACAGTTACACAACATATACACATATCATTAACTTTCCACACCTGTGGATATCTCACACTACATTCGAAGCTAGTATGCACATGAAAATGTTCTCAAAACATTTTTACAAAAAGGTGTGGATCACTGGCCAAAATCCCAAGTAGTAGTCCAAGCACAGAATAGTTGAAGACCATACCTCATCCTGGCTTCAACTCTAGCTCCTCTCCCACCTAACACTTATCTACTGCTGCTGCTGATGATCTGCTTACACATAGCATAAGCAGAGAAGAAGAATAAAAGAGGGTCAGCTCATAGCTGAGTGAGATAATCATAGCATCGTGAGTTCATAACAGAGCATACCCCTATCATACATCTAACAATCAAACCAAAACACTAGGATCGGACCTCAGCCATCCTCATATCCCAATAGGCAAAAGACTCAACCACCTTGACTTATGCATATGCATCTTATCATGTTTTAATCATAGGCGCCTGGCTACTCCCATGCTAATAACTCTCCCGGGAAACATACCCCACATCCCGTCGGATGTAGTCATACATACCCCAACATCCCGTCGGATGTGGTCATACATACCCCACACCACTATGGGTGTAGTCATACCCCGACACCGCTCTGGGTGTGGTCATATCTCATAAGAATTCTTCAGTCACCACCACATGAGAGGTGTGACTATCATACATATCATAATAGAGTAATAGCATAGGGAGCCCTAATTACTACGTAATTGACCGTGAGACCACAACACTCATATTTAGTATCCTTATACATGATTCATATCTCATCTTGCTTAATCATAATTCATTACTTGCACATGTACTTGACCAGGCCACAATTGGCTCAACATAGGTAAATCAGGAGTCGTATAATTGCACTTCCTCGGGATAAACCCTCGTGCAAGTCATCCTCCTTAAAACATCATACTATCACCTTGGGAAGTTTATTCCCCCACTTATGGATCCAAATACAACCATAATATCACACCATGTCAAAACCCCTTATCGAACAACCATGAAGTCATATCAATAGTTAAGCCACAAATGGTAACATGTATGCAATCATCCACATAAACAAGGTTCATATCGATTAGGGCAAGTCAATAATATCATACAACAGTCCAGGGTTTATCATATAGCACAAAAGTCCATACACCCCTAATCATGCCATTCTAGTTCACCTAGGTCAATTCTAAGCATTAATATAATTATCGTGATACGACAAACCCGGTATGCCGTGCTAATCCCTCACCATTTCTGGTCGTTCAAACACCGGTTTAACCTTCCCGTACTAAAACGTCAATTTCACGAACGAACCCCGAATTAAAATCCGAGACCGTCCTAATATCCCCTGCAGTATCCCCGTCAATATTAGTTCTGGGCTCCGGGTCAAATTCTCGATAAAAACACATCAAACCCTGGCCGGAGCTAAATTCAGCGGTTTGGACCCCGGCCTAAATAATAGCCGAAATTCAGGGATTAGAACTAGAGGATTGATTACCTCGCTGCAGGAAGCTCGTATATGAAATTTGGGCTCAATCCGGCTTCCGGATACTCCGAAACCCTAATTTGGCTGATCGGGAATTCAAGAAATTCCTGAACCAAAAACTCGTTTTAAAGCTCTAAATCGATAAAACACGATGTATAGATGAATTAGGCATTACTTACGGGATTTTTGGATCACTAGGGCTCAAGATTTTGAGCTTTGGAATTTTGGGTCGAGAGCTCCGCGCGTGCTCTATTTCTCTCATTTCTCTCGGTCCGTACAGAAAGAAGAACATAAATGGAGAAATGGACGGTGGTGGGGAATTTATGTGTACAGGGACATATATATATATATATGTATATATATATATATAATTAATACGTATACTTATCCGATCGATCAATAATCCGATTTTCGTCGAAATAGTGTCGAAATGTTCGATTTTAAATCGTGAACTTTCTAGCGATCGAAATATGGGTTTTGCAAAACGAGATGTTACAATTCTCCCCTCCTTAAGAGATTTCGTCCCCGAAATCTAACCTTGAGTCAAACTCCTCTTACTTACCCTTAACTTGGTCTATCACACATAAAGTCATTACCTAACGATTAGGTTAGGCTATTCATAACATAGAAGGTAACACATAACACTCAAGTTCCCATGTTTAGGTTTCAAAAACCTATACTGGGCTATCACAACAAAAGCACATCAGCAAGTTCAAAACATAACTTACTAAGCAAGATTGTTAACCTTTAAAGTAGGTCGCTACCAACTCAGGGTACTTCTCTCGCATACTTGCTTCAGTCTCCCAGCTAGCACTCTCACTTTCTTGATTTCTCCAAACCACTTTCAACATTGGGATTTCCTTCCTACGAAGATTCTTAATCTGGTAATCAATAATCTCAACTGGAACCTCTTCAAATGTCAAATCTGAACCCAACTCGATCTCTTCTGGTTGTATAACATGGGAAGGATCCACTTTGTACCTCTTCAGCATACTCACATGAAATACATTGTGGATTTGAGATAGTTCTGGAGGCAATGCCAACTTATAAGCCACTGGTCCAATCTTCTCTGTGATTTCATAGGGACCAATATACCGAGGTGCAAGCTTTCCTTTCTTACCAAATCTCATCACCCCTTTCCATGGTGACACTTTGAGAAATACTTTCTCACCCACTTCGAAATTAACTTCACGCCTACTCGTGTCAACATAAACTTTCTGTCGATCTTGAGCCACCCTCAACCGCTCCCTGATTTCCTTGACCTTATCAACTGTGATCTGAACTATCTCTGGCCCTGAGATTTGCCTTGCTCCTTCTACATCCCAACATAATGGTGTTCTACATTTTCTCCCATAAAGTGCTTCATATGGTGGGACACCCAAACTACTATGGTACTGATTGTTGTAAGCAAACTCAATCAGGGGCAAATGGTCAATCCATGATTCCTCCCATTGCATTACACATGATCGAAGTAATTCCTCCAAAGTTAGGATGGTTCGTTCACTCTGCCCATCTGTTTGAGGATGATAAGCTGAAGTAAAATGCAGTTTAGTTCCCAAGGCATCATGTAAACTTTGCCAAAATCGAGATGTGAAGCTTGGGTCTCGATCAGAGACAATAGAAATTGGCACACCATGCAATCTGACGATCTCCTTAATATATAGTTGAGACAAAATCTCCAGTGATGGTTTCCATCTAATGGGTAAAAAGTGAGCCGATTTGGTTAGTCGGTCCACAATAACCCATACTGCATCTTTTCCCCTTGATGATGGGAGACCATATACAAAATCCATTGTGATTCTTTCCCACTTCCATTCTGGAATTGGAAGTGGTTGCAGTTTTCCCACGGGAGCTTGATGTTCTGCCTTAACTTTCTGACATACTAGACATGTGAAAACATGTTCAGCCGCTTCCTTTTTCATCCCACGCCACCAAAAATATGGTTTGATCGTGTGATACATTTTAGTTGCTCCTGGGTGCATAGCATAAGCAGAAGAATGAGCTTCATCTAGGATCTCTTTCCTCAAGTTATCAACATTAGGAACACATGCTCTTCCATTAATCTTCAACATGCCATCTACCATTTCAAATGGGCTTTCTTTTCCTTCCTCAATGTCTTGAATGATTTTTGCCAACTCTGGGTCCTCCTTCTGCTTCTCACGAATTTTGTCGTGCAACAAAGGTCGAATGTTCAACCGAGCTAGTAACCCTGTTACACCATCCACTTCCAAATCAACATTCATTGCCCTCAAATCAACCAGATCATTTATATTCTTCTTCCCCTTTCTGCTCAGAGCATCAGCAACTACATTAGCTTTACCTGGATGGTAATCAATGGTACAATCATAATCTTTCAACAACTCTATCCATCTCCTCTGGCGACTATTTAAATCCTTCTGATCCATAATATACTTCAAGCTTTTGTGATCAGTTAGAATTTTAAAAGTCTCACCATACAAATAATGTCGCCAAATCTTGAGAGCAAATACCACCGCTGCCAATTCTAAGTCATGAGTGGGATAATTTACTTCATGAGGACGCAATTGCCTAGAGGCATATGCGATAACTCTTCCATCTTGCATTAACACACAGCCCAATCCTTGATACGAGGCATCACTATACACCACAAACTCTCCCTGACTTGAA